TAGATGTTCAGCACATGTGTGAGTCCAGCGGATGTTCATTTGTGTCTTTGTAGGATTGATGAACAGACCGTGGACTCGCACAGAGATCTGAAGGTAAAAAAAGTGATTTATATTTTAATTAGAATTATTCAAATTTTGAATATGATAAGAATTATTAGATGTGTTCCAGGGTGAAACAATATTGAAAGATCCAATGTAGCAATTCTAGAAACTTACTTTATTGGATATTTACTGCTGTCACAGTGCTTCTAGACTAAACCTTTTTTAATCAAGTGAATTTTTTATACAAAGGGGGAAAAAAAATCAAAGCAGCTTTTCTTCAAGCCGTTAAAGCACAAGATGCTCTTTGTAGAGTCTCAGATGAGGCTAAGAAAAAGATTCATGCCAGATTCATTGGTTATTCAGTTAACTTAATTTGTTTTATTATTATTAGATGATAGCCAATATGAAAAATATGGAAGAATAAAGAAGCTAAAATGTTATATTGTAAATAAAAAAGAAAGAATTGTTTCCCTACATGAGGTGTGTGTCTGTTTCTCAATTATATGCATGCATGTGTGCATTTATATATACATAATAAATATAGACAGAGACACACATATAGTTTATGTCAAATCATTTTGGATTCGATTAATCTTTGCTCAGCACTAATTTTATTATATTGTATTAATTATCTATTCATTTTCTTTTCAGCTTAGTTCCTTTATTATTCCGGGGTTGCCACAGTGGAATGAAACGCCAACTTATCCAGCACGTTTTTACGCAGTGGATGCCCTTCCAGCCGCAACCCATCTTTGGGAAACATCCAAACACACATTCATTCACACTCTTACACTATGGACAATTTAGCCTACCCAATTCCCCTTTACCGCATGTATTGGACTGTGGCGGAAACCGGAGCACCCTAAGGAAACCCACGCGAACGCAGGGAGAACATGCAAACTCCACACAGAAACACCAACTGACCCAGCCAGAGCTCGAACCAGCGACCCAGCGACCTTCTTGCTGTGAGGCGACAGCACTACCTGCTGTGCCATTGCGTCGACTTATATTATATTATATTATATTATATTATATTATATTATATTATATTATATTATATTATATTATATTATATTATATTATATTATATTATATTATATTATATTATATTACATTATATTATATTATATTATACTATGACCTGTTTAAAAATGCAAGGTCTACTATTGTTTTATATTTTATTTATTTTTATACTTATTCTTATACTTATAGTATTTATTATAAGAATTACAAAGAATGTTTTTTTCCCCTGTTATATTAAATAATATATTCACTTTTCAACTTGCATGAATGCAAGGTTTAAAAAATATTATTTTATATTTCATATCTATTAGCTATTTAGATATAATTTATTACATAAATTAACAAAGCATGTATTTATTTCTATCACATCAAATTATGTTATTACATTATCGCAACAATAGATCAATTATCGTGTATATAGGTTAGCTTTATTGCTTATCAAAAGGATTACATTTGCTTACCTGAAGTCTATGGACAAAGTAAATAAACAACTCAAAGCTGAGTCTCAGGCTTTGGACTTTACCATCTCATGAGGTAACATAACATTTTTGTGTTTGTCTGTTAGTGGCTGTGGCTAACTCGTATGAATGACCCAAATCAGTGCCACCTGCTGTTTTGGTGGAGGAAATATCCCATTTGTGAGAAAATCCCTCTGGATGCGTTTGTGAGAAAATCTGAATGATTTGTGAGAAAATCCCTCTGGATGCGTTTGTGAGAAAATGTAAATTATCAATTTGTGAGAAAATCCCTCTGGATGCATTTGTAAAACAATCTAAATTATCAATTTGTGGGAAAATTCTTCTTGATAAATTTATGAGAAAACCCCCCTGGAAGCATTTGAGACACAATCTTAATTATCAATTAGTAGAAAATTCCTCTGGATGCATTTGTGAGAAAAACCGAATGAATCCATTTGTTAGAAAATGCATTTGTGAGTGCCTGAATTATCCATTTGTGAGCAAATCTTTCTGAATGCATTTATAAGAAAATCTGAACAAAATCATTAATGAGAAAATCTCTCTGGATCCATTTGAGAGAAAAACCACAGGTATGCAGCTGTATGCACTATATATGGTGTTTGTTCTAGGACTACATGCAGTTAAATGCAGATGGACTGTATTCATTTATGAAATATGATTCATATTTGTAAAACCACGATACATTTATTTAACACCACTGGATTTTGCTTAGACTTTTTTTTTGTAAATTGCTTTCCGTTGTAAAGTCATGTGATTCTTTGCAAAGCAGATCATGTTTGTTTGCAAAATGCTGGATGCATTGCACCAAACCTCACCCTTAAACCCAACTATTTTACTAATTTGATTTAATTTAATTTAATTTTATTTTATTTTATTTTATTTTATTTTATTTTTTATTTATTTTTTATTTATTTATTTATAAATTACTTAATTATTTATTTTATTAATTAATTTATTTATTTTATTTATTTATTGATTTTTATTTATTTTTTATTTTTTATTTTTTTTATTTACAGTCATTGGGGCATAAACAAATCGGCCACTACATCAAAAACTTACAAATTGCTTTGTGAGAGCATAGTGAAAACTGCTGCTGGAAACAGATTGTAAGCATCTCTGTGGTTCATATTTTTCAGCAACATATGTTTTTCATTCTCTAGGTGAAACTGGAATAGATGAAACACGGGTTTTGATGTTGTCTGCAGGCAGCTATACCTCTTGTTTCCCCTACAAAGACACTGGCTGCTATTTCAGCGGCCGCACTGGAACAGAAATACCATCAAATCACACTGAACATTTGTGCCCCGCCATGTGTAGGAGTCTGGATCTGGATCAGCGCGTTTTGTAACGTTTAGACATAAAGATGTGTGGAAATAGACATGGTGAGAGGGAGTGGAAGCGCATTAGCATAAATGTGTGTGCAGGAGATGTTTTTCCTCACAGAAAAATCCTGTAATCTTATTTAGTTCATTAAAGAATATACTTTTTTTCATTTTATTTTATGTTTGCAGATAAAAAAAATAAAGAAAAAAAATCAGTTTTATCAGATTTTAGTGGATCTGTAATGTTTTTTATATATTGATCAAATCAGCTCCAAATCAGTTCACTGTGAATTTTTATTTCTGTTTATTTATTTCAGTCCGGTATATGTTTTCTTAATGTTAAGGCTCTTTGTGCACCTAGTATTACTCTATAGTTATCTCTACTGTATACTATTATAACATCCATGCAGTTCCTATTATTTACTTTTTTATTAGTTTAATTTAAATTTTTAATTAATTTTTACGTAATATTTAATTACATTTTTTATTTTGAATTTTATTATTTTTTTATTTTTGTATATGTTTTATGTAATTTATGTATTTGTTTAATTATTTTGAATTAAATAAAAAAATTTTATTACAATTTTAATTAATTAATTAATTAAATTATTTTGTTTTTAATTTTAGTTCTTTAATTTTTTATTACATTTTTTATTTGATTTTGAATAAAATTTATTTTTTAATCAATTAAATAATTTATTTTTATTTAAATTTGCAATTTAAGTTTTTATTTTAATTTTGAATTACATTTTTTTCTTAAATTTTTTAATTTATTTTATTTTTGTTTATTTTTAATTTTTTGTATACATTAATTTTTTATTTATTAATTAATCTATTTATTTACATTAATTTTTTATTATTGTTTTTGTTCGATTAATAATTTTTTTGTTTTTGTATGTTTATTTTCATTAATTAATTAATTTTTAATTACAAATTTGTATTTATTTTAGAATTCATTTATTTTTTGTTTTTGTATATATTAATAATGTTCATTTCAGTATGCTTTTAGGTGAACTACCCATTTAACTTGAGTGAACACCATACCAAAAATATCATTTACAGTTTTTCATGATTGCTAACACATTAAAATTGAACTTTTCCCACAATTAGCAAAACTGTACACTCAAGAAGCAAAACACAAGGCTAGATCTGCACAACTGTAAGCACATTGTCAGCTTCACACTTTTTGCACAAGGTGATAAGACCACACACATGAACCATAGGTTAAACACAGCCATCAGGTGCACACACACTGCTGCAAAACTGTAGACACACCCCAATCAGCTGTAACCACAATAAAAAAAAGTAATAGGTACTATTAGTCTTCAATAAACATGTTTACAGTAGTATAGCAATAATTAGTCTTCAATAAACATGTTTTACAGAAGCTATAAATATTAATATTTAATAAATAAGCCAATGGTGCAGTATGAAAAAGGAAGCACGAAAGTGAGGAAGATTGGTAAACAGGAAACAGGGGATGGATTTTTTTTACATTGAGATGTATACATCACCAGAGAGCTGAATAAATAATCTTTACATTGTTGTATGGTTTGTTAGGATAGTGCAATATTTAGCTATCAGTCTATCACTGTTTATGTGTGTTCATGTACTTTATAGCAATATCTCTAAAACCCAGATTATATCAGTATTAGTCACTTAAAAACGATACAAGTGTTTAAGATTGATTACAGCAGTGTGTAAATGAAGCAAACAGATTTATATCGTATGAGGCGTGTGAGTTCTGTACGGTGTTGAAATTGTGTTTCGTTATAATGTTGTAAAGTTTTGGATGAAGTGTTTCGTTTTGCAAAAGTTCTGATGTGTTCTGCTGTTTGTGTGTGTGGATGTGCAAATTGTGTGTATTGTTTTGAAAAAATGAGCCTTAATTTGAAAATTGTGCTTAAGCAATTAGAAAAAAACTGTAATAAAGAGATTTGATGATTATACATATATATATATATATATATATATATTATCTGCTAATTTAATTTCACCTATTAAATTGCTCTATTTTAAGTAAAGTAATGCCTAATTAATGTTTTTTTTTTCCACACTCACAGAAAAAGAATTTAGTTTGATGTGTCCTCAGAAGTGGGGCTGTGTTATTATAATGTTTCAGCTACTACAACGTCCAATTCCGGGAAGGATTTTGTTGTTGGTCTTGTTGTTGTTATTGTTAGTGGAAGAAAAAAAAAACTTTATCCAGAATGTGTTGTTCCAGCAGATTCCAGAAAGCAGCGCCGCCTCGGGCCTTAAAAGCATTAAAGCAAAGTAAACAAGAGCAACCGCTGATAACAAGAATTCAATTTAAAACAAAGACACAGAAACCTGTTGTGCTGGAATCAGCAGGTGAATGCATTTGACAAGTACGGTTTATGTTCAAGGGTGTTTGCAGGTAATATTATAACTTTTCTTTTCTTTTAGAACATTTGCATCTTGAGGAGAGGAACTTTTACTGCATTGCATTTTCAGCAGTACTGTGCTTACTTCAGTGAAACAGCCAGTCAAGTCAAGTAAAAAGTAAGTTAAGTTTAATAAGTGCATGAATCATTAAATATTAAAATTTAATAATTTAACTGTCCTAAATGTCTTTTGCTGCTTATTTAAACTACTGTACTAAATTAAACTAAATTGTACTAAATAGACAGATAGATAGATAGATAGATAGATAGATAGATAGATAGATAGATAGATAGATAGATAGATAGATAGATAGATAGATAGATAGATAGATAGATAGATAGATAGATAGATAGATAGATCGATCGATCGATCGATCGATCGATCGATAGATAGATAATTTATGTATTTATAGATAATTTTATATATCTATTAATATTTATATTTGTGTATTTCTTGTCATATTGTTATATTAATTTAATTTATTTGATCTAGATGATCAAATAAGAGTGTTTGCCCCCCCCCCCAAAAAAGTATTGTATTATAATAATAATAGTTTGTATAATAATGATAATAATAATAATAATAATAATAATAATAATAATAATAATAATAACAAAATTTTTATATTATTAATTTTTATTCTTTAATTTGTATCTTTAAAAAGTTATGATTATATTTGCATTATATCAAATAATATATTTCATGTTAATTTGTCATATCATGACATATATTATCCCAACAGATTAAATACTGTATATAATTTTATGTTATATTATATTATATTATATTATATTATATTATATTATATTATATTATATTATATTATATTATATTATATTATATTATATTATGAATTTAACTGATGTGTAGATTGACTATTAGGCCACTTAAAAAATTTTTACATTACTATTTTTTATTGTTTATTTTGTATAATTATAGTTTATAATTATATGTGTTGTTATATTACATCATATCAAATATGACATATTTAATTATTATTATAATTAATTATTTATATTTATTATTTGATTTACCATTATTAGTTTTATTTCTTATCAAAAGTATTGATGTGTAATTTTGCATTACATTATATTATGAATTTCATGTGTTGGGTGAGTGTTAGGCTCCTTTAAAAAAAATTTATGTTATAACTATTTATTGTTAATTGTTTATAATTATAATTTGATGATCAAATTTGTGATGCATGTCAGTGTTTGAAGTTTGAGATTCATGCATTATCTGTCATTTGAACATCACCAAAACAAGCTTTGTGTACTCTCTAAGAAAGGACAATATTTTGGCTGAGGGAATAATAATTTGAAAATGTGTTAAAATCTCACATTTAAAGTTGTCCCATATAGTTTTGTAACATATATGACGGTCGTTTATAATTCAGGGTCACATTTCAAGAATTATTTATCAGAAGAATGTCAAAAGTAGGTAAGTTTATTATTATTGCATTTTTAAGGCTTTTATAGTCTTATAGTCTTATACAGTTGAAGTCTTATTATTTTTATTATTAATTTTTATTATTTATTTTGTTTTTTTAACATTTGTAGTCAGAATGATTTGCCCTCTTAATTATTTCCCCCAATTACTGTTTTAACAGAAAAAATATATTATATTAATGTATATTATAATGTATTAATATTACATTTCTTAGCTTAAAAGTTTTAATAAATAATTTCATAACTGGTTTCTTTTATTTTTGCCATGATGACAGTATTTAATATGGTCACACTTTATTTTGATGGTCCATTTGTTGAATTTAAGCCAGCTAATTCTCATTAGATTATAAGTAGACTGTTAGGTTGGTGTTAGGGTTAGTGTTAGTTGACATGTACTTGCAAAGCTTCTTATAGTCAGTAAAATATTTGTTGAAGGAGAAATTAAGCAGACAGTCTGCTAATACTCAAATGGACCATCAAAATAAAGCGTTACTCATAATATTCTTCTAGATATTTTTCAAGATACTAGCTTAAAGTGACATTTAATGGCTTAACTAGTGTAATTAGGTTAACTAGGCAATTTAGAGCAGATTATTGAAGAATGATAGCTTGTTCTGCAGACAGCAAAAGAAAATCGAAAACAAAAGAAGAGTTCAAATGCAAAAACCTGTAAATCCCATCTGAATTTTATTTAAAAAATGAATATTTTTATCAGGATCCTGTGTGCAAGTTCAGTAATTTGACTTTTATTTCAAAGAATAAGTTCTTTTCATGGTCTTAAAAGTCAAATAACTCAACATAAACAAAGGAGGCTGAGAATAATGCTCATTTTATATGGATATGTCAGATGGCACTTAGAGGTTTTTGCATCTGAACTAATCAAAAATTGCTTAGTGGGGTTAATAATAATGACTTTAAAATGCTTTTCTTTTATTAACAACTGCTTTTATTCTAGCCCAAATAAGACTTTCTCCAGAAGACAAAAATGTTATTGGAATTGCTGTGAAAAAATTCTTTCTCTGTTGAACATCATTTGGGAAATATTTGAAAAAGAAAAGAAAAAACAGGAGGGCTAATCATTGTGATTTTAAATGTACATAAATTTTCATGATAGACTTTTACGAGATATGCTTTCAGTGAGTCTCAGTATTCAAATGTGTATGTGTGTGTATTTTCCTATACAGTAGCTGCTGTTTTCCAGTCTAAATTGTTTTCTTCACACAGCCTTGATCCCTCCTCACGGTTGAACTGAAAACAGAGTATATTTTTCATTGTGTGGGACAATAAGTGCTCCGCAGAGCTTGACGTTAGAGTTTAGTAAATATAAGCTCTGGTCATTGAGCTGTATCACAATAATGGCTTTCTGATCATTTCATTACCCACATATAAACAGCTCTTTTTTTTCTCCAGTGCTCACACGCAGACTAGATCAAACTTCATCTGAACTCCAGAATCACCATGCGACCTTGAGAGCCTGATGCAAAGCTCTGTCCATCTCCAGTAATTTGGAGTAAATAAGAGAGATTTGCTCATCTATCAGTCATCGCGGAGTCACTGAGTCATTTTAATAAGCAGATCTCAGCGTGTTTGAGTGTTTCTGCTGTGAAAGAACTTCCTATTTACTGCTATAAATGCAGCTTCACTTATTTCACTCATTATTCGGTTATCCTGCCCTTCACTAATCATGGCACCCTTGGTAAATATGAGCAATATGAGCAAAGAAGACTGTAAAAAAAGGTATGCATTTTTTGCTTATTTTATATGTACAATGTATTGTATTTTTTATTATTATATTATATTATATTATATTATATTATATTATATTATATTATATTATATTATATTATATTATATTATATTATATTATATTATGTTTTATATTATATTATATTATATTATATTATATTATATTATATTATATTTATTATGTTATATTATAATATATTATATTCTATTATTTTATATATTTTTAAAAATATTATGATTGTAATTTTGAATAATTTTAATTGTGTTTTTTATTATTGATTATTAATTTATAAATATTATTTTTGTATTAATATTTTTGTGTAAATTTGTATATTATTTATATATTAAACTATTATATTTAGGACCCCCCCACACACACTTTGTTACTTATTTCAAGATTGTAAAAAGATTATTAAATTGTATGATTGTAATTTATTATTTTTTAATGTAAAGAAAATATTTAAAAACTTTTTTTTTACCAATTTAAGAATAAAGAAAACTCATTTGACTTTTTAAAATTCATATTATACAACATTTTATTATATTATATTATATTATATTATATTATATTATATTATATTATATTATATTATATTATATTATATTATATTATATTATATTATATTATATTATATTATATTATATTTATTATATATAAAATATGTATTCATAGATATTTATGTTATGTAGAATAAAATGTTTTGATTTAAAATGTAATTTATTTCACACATTTAAAGATTGCAATTTAATCATTTAAATTTTCATCATGAACATATTATAGATTATAGACTAGCTAAAACTTCATCTGTGCTCCAGAATCACCAAGTGACCTTGAGAGGCCCACTCGCAGCTCTGTGCCTCTGTGCCTCTCCAGTGATTTGTAGCAAATAAGAGAGATTCGCTCATCTATCACTCATCACAGTCATTTTAATGCGCAAATCTTCTTCTGCACATCGTTCTGACGACTCTCGAGTGTTTCTTTTTTTCTGTAAAGAACTTATTTACCTCTATTAATGCAGCTGTAATTATTCACTCCCAGATTATTCACTCCCAATACTTCCGCAATAACGAGCTCAAGAAGATTAATGATTGGACGACCATTGTCCGCAAAGTACGTTCACTAATCATTGGAAGTGTAAGAAGAAGAAAAAAAAAGCTATTAAACAATGCAAATCAAAGCACATTCCTCAAAGCGGCTCGGTTCCAGTGTTCGGCCTGATAGCGGAGAAATTGCAGATAACTCCATTAGGGGAAAGAATTGAAAATACGATAAAGCGGAGAGGCTGATGTATGATGTTTCCTCTGGCTGCAGGTTCCGATAAAGAGCTCATTTCCAATGAAAGAAGCACTTGACAGAGGCAATTTTGCTGTTTTAACGAACACTGTCGTTAACAGGCGTGAGATAAGAAACGCAAGTGATTACCCATAATGCCGTCCTCAAAACATATGCTATTACGCTCTGTCATTAACAAAAATATATCATCTGCGAGATGGGAGAAAGATGTAGAGCGTAATGTTTTCTGAACGTTTAGATCTGTTATGTATTAGATATGTTTCTTTAGCATCTGTAAAATGGACGGTTGTGATCTTTCCGGCTGCTTTGTATGTTTATTCTGACCTTGCTTCACTTTTTTTGGGGCTTTTAATTGCACAATTAGTTTGTCAGGGTGTCTGTTTGTTTGTTTGTTTTATTCCTCTCAGTACTATTAGTTGGTGGGAACTGAAGTAATTCAGCTGCGGATCACAGCTTGAAACAAATGAGGAAGTCAATGTGGTAAAACATCTTTTTATTAACCCTAAAAACGCTGTGTTTCAAGTCTGTTTTTTACATAATTGTGATTTAAACTAAACTTCAAATGCAAAGTATGGGAGTGATTCTTTGCAAATGATTTAACTCGGGGCAACCCTGATGGGTGTTTCCTATTATATTAGAGAGGGTTGGGGGGGCGGGGGGGGAGGGGGGGTGGAATTCCGGGAGTTTTGAGAGACAGAACAATCCAGGAGATTCCCAGGAGTGTTGGCAGGTATGCTTTAGACATTACGATAGAGAATCATTCAAATGCTAGCTTTAAAGTGACGTTGGTAAATGAGAAACTGTTTCTGCTGTTCTGACAGCAGCTACAGATGTGTATGTGTATGAATCAAGGGTTTTAATTTTCTTTTTTTTTTTTTTTTACACATGATTTTGCCATTGAACTGTTATATAAATGCAATATTATACTCTTAGTAGTACGATGTAGCTGTATATCATAACTGGTAAGACACTAAGGCAATCCACACCTTCTACCAGTGCCGATATACTGCCAGATCACACTGCTACTCGTATGATATTGCTCATATATATATATATATATATATATATATATATATTTATATATGTACTTCAAAACATTGGTGTATGACTTTTAAAAAAAAATTCAAAATACTGTTATATACCATCAAATTTCCGGCAAACACAGCTACTGATTTTATTTTACTATTAGTTTTATTTTACTGCGTACCTTGGCTCTAGGGGTCAAACAACAAAAAATAAGGTCAAGAATCCTGGTGTGATTCCGGAGTCAGATGAATTTCAGTAGTCATGTAAAAGAAGTTAGTAAATCAGCATACTACCATCTCAAAAACATTGCAAGAACTAGATGATTAGTGAGGACTTAGAGAAACGTGTTCCTGATTTTATCACCACCAGGGTGGATTACTGTAATGTACTCCTCACTGGCCTTCCCAAATAGACCGTCAGCAGTTGCAGCTCATCCAGAACTCATCCATATACAGTTGAAGTCAGAAGTATTAGCCCACTGTTTATTTTTGTCCCCCAATTTCTGTTTAATGGAGAGAAGACTTTTTTTTAGCACATTTCTAAACATAATAGTTTTAATAACTCATCTCTAATAACTGATTTATTTTATCTTTGTCATGATGACAGTAAATAATATTTGACTAGATATTTTTCAAGACACTTCTATACTGCTTAAAGTGACATTTAAAGGCTTCAAAGGGGGCCTAATAATTCTGACTGACCATTTGTCTCTTCATTTGTCCAAAAGAAATGTTAAACCTATTATTAATCTGAAATGTTTTACATTTCTGCAAAGGCCTGTGTTGAGAGTACAAATGAAAATTGGAACAAAAACGATATATCTTGTGTGCGCACAAATACACACAAGTATCATATAACAGACATTTTTATAGAAATTGGCAAATTTTGTTTTTGCAAAACTGGCATAAATCTGAAAAAGGTTCATCAATAAATGAAGGACTAATACTAAAGCACAAGATCAACATGGAGTGTGTGTGTAACTCACACGCACGCACATATTAATAATAAAGTTTTTTTATCAATGTTTAATCAGTGGACAGCACTCATTTTTGACTAAAGTGGAGGAAAATTAATACTAAAATTCTAATAGGTTTTTAGCAAGACAGTATTTATAAAAGTTAAAACAGCAGATTATGTGTGTGTGTGTGTGTGTGTGTACGTGTTTTTGTGACATATCAGGACACAAATCTGTATAATGACATCGGTATGACACAGGTATTACAAAAATGAGGTGAAATATGAAGACATTGATGACGTCCTCACTTCTCAAAATGCTTATATATCTTACAGAAGGAGTTTAATTAATGTGTCTGTGTGTCTGTGTGTCTGTGTGTTTGTGTGTGACTGTGTGTCTGTGCGTGTCTGTGTGCTCGTGCATGTGCGTGTGTGCCACCAATTGTGCAAGTTTTCCCAATTAAAAAGATGAGAGAGGTCTATCATTTTCATCATAGGTATACCTCAACTTTGAGAGACAAAATGAAAAAAAAAGAAATAGAGAAAATCCATTGTAGGATTTTAATGGATTAATAATAAGCAAATTATTGTGGAAAATAAGTATGTGGTCAATAGCAAAAGTTCATCTTAATACTTTGTTATATACCCTTTGTTGGCAAAATCAGAGGTCTTCACCAGGTTTTCACACACTGTTGTTGGTATGTTGGCCCTTTCTTCTTTGCAGATCTCCTCTAGAGTGCTGATGTTTTGGGCAACACAGACTTTCAACTTCCTCCAAAGATTTTCTATGGGGTTGAGTTCTGGGGACTGGCTAGGCCACTCCAGGACCTTGAAATGAAGACCCAGCCATGTTTTATCTTCAATGCCCTTACTGATGGAAGGAGGTTTTCACTAAAAATCTCACGATACATGGCCCCATTCATTCTTACCTTTACACGGATCAATCGTCCTGGTCCCTTTGCAGAAAAACAGCCCCAAAACATGATGTTTCCACCCCCATGCTTCACTGTAGTTTTAGTGTTCTTTGGATGCAACTCAGCAATTTTTCTCCTCCAAACACAACTTGTTTTTACTAAAAAGTTCTATTTTGGTTTCATCTGACCAATCACGTTCTCCCAATCTTCTTCTGGATCATCCAAATGCTCTCTAGCAAACTTCAGATGGGCCTTGACATGTACTGACAAAAGCAGGGGACACATGTGGCACTGCAGGATTAGGATTTGGGTCCCTGCGGTGCAGTGTGCCCCACTGTATTTACATGTTTATAAGTATAATTTTTGTGAGGAAAATTTTATTTAAATCTAAATTAATTTAGAATAAAAAGGTGTAAATGCAATAAAACTATGAAGAACGTGGTAACACACAAATTAATGATGTTGCTGAGTTTTGACTTTTATAAAATAGCATTTATTCATATTCAGACTCACTAAAATCAGTGTAGAGATTTAAAATGCATTACGAGTGTGAAGAAGTTGCTTAATAAAAAAATTATTGATGGCTTTATAACATCCAGCGGTTTGAGTTTGGCAATATTGATCTGACCTTGAAAGCTTTATTCTGTGTTTTGTCAGGAAGCTCCTAATTGCAGATGGGACGCTGCTGCTGTCGTATTATCATCCTGTAATGAAAGTCATAATTCTGGTAAGTCACAGGCCTTTCAGATAAAGCAATATGAATGCATTATAAATCCTAAATTGTCATTCTTGTAATTGCCGACGCAGATGGCCAACACTGAACACTGTTAATCAAAACCAATTTGCATCTCATCCTACTTTGTTAGTGTTGATGACAACTTTCATAGATTTGACCCTACTTTGTTACTCAAATCTAAATGAAATAAACATTCCTCACAAGCAGACAATGTGGAAACTGCATTTGTGGCTCATTGTTTACAAATTCGGTTCATCTTCTGTTTTCCCACAGCTTCATCAGTAAGTCTGGTATGCTTAAGTATTTATTTACTTATTTGGTAAGTTCATTCATTCATTCATTTTCTTTTTGGTTTAGTTCCTTTATTAATCAGGGGACACCACAGCAGAATGAACCGCCAACTCATCCAGCGGATGCCCTTCCAGCGGCAACCCATCACTGGGAAACACACCCACACACTCTCATTCACACTCATACACTTCGGACAATTTAGCTTACAATTCACCTATAGCGCATGTATTTGGACCTGTGGGGGGAAACCGGAGCACCCAGAGGAAATCCAAGCAAACACGGAGGAACATGCAAACTCCACACAGAAATGCCAACTGACCCAGACAAGGCTTGAACATCGCTACCCACTGCGCCACCGCACAGCTATTTGGTAAGTATTTATGTATTTTTGTATTTTATTTATCATACAATGTCAGTATATTTAGACATATTGAGATTTAAATTTGCATTTGGTAGAACAATGGTTGATTACAGATCTTTGTGTATTTAGTTTTAAATTTTTGTGTATTTGTTTGTGTGGCTTAATGAGTATAATGTGATTGTGGTTATTATTATTGTTGCTATTTTAATTATTTCTTGTAATATTTATTAATTCACAACATTCTGTGATAGTTGACGGTTTGATCTATTTGTAAAAAAATTATGATTGTTATTATACTTAAAATGATGATGATGTTAATAATAATAATAATAATAATAATAATAATAATAATAATAAAACAATAATAATAATATAGCAATAATACTTTAATGTATATTACATTATTGTGTATAATAGTATATTGTTATTAATGTTATTAAGATATAAAATAATGATAATAATAATAACAATTCTTCTTCTTCTTCTTCTTCTTATTATTATTATTATTATTATAGTTGATGCATAACTGTTTTAAAATATTTGTGATAAACCAGCTTTCATGTATTTATTAAAATATAAAATGATTATTTTATGGTTAAATTACTTTAATTATTAAAGTGACCATAATAATAATAATAATAATAATAATAATAATAATAATTTATTGCATATTATTATTATTATTATTTTTGTTGTTGTTGTTGTTGTTGTTGTTGTTGTTGTTGTTGTTGTTGTCGTTGTTGTTATTATATTATTTTTTATTATTGTTAAAATAATAATTGTTATTATTATATTATAGTTGATAACTATTATTATTATTATTATTATTATTATTATTATTATTATTATTATTATTATTGATGTATAACAATAACAATGTGATAAATCAGCATTCATGTATTTATGAAAATTATGAAAATTTTTATTTTATGGTTAAATTATTATACTTATTAAATTGACCATGCTTGTTTATAATCATTATTGTCATTATTATTGATGTTGTTGTTATTAGCGATAATAATAATAATTATTATTACTTCTATTATTATTATTAATATTATAATTATTATTAATTTACTTAAATATAATAATAATAATAATAATAATAATAATAATAATAATAATAATAATATTTTCTTTTTGTCTTGTCTTAACAATGTCACTGTATATGTTAAGCTGTTAATGGCGAAAACATGAATTGTGCTTAATCTTTTGACAGCACTAATCATATTTAAATCATCATGTTTTATATTTTAGCAAAATCAAAACTTAAATGTCTCCATGTGTCACCAGGGAAAGCACAACACTTGTTGAGAACCACTAGCGTAGCTGACACCAACATATACCATATTCATATATTCACTGCAGAACAGACTAATAGCATCCATTATGTGCTTCCACATAATTGTTTTTTTATACAGTAATTGGATCGCGTTTATTCCCACTTCTTACAAATTGGCAGAAAATGTCAGCTTACAGTTTGTATGCAGTTACGCAGAACCATAACCGAGGAGCAGGTCCAGCGGAAAGGCGATAAAACCGAAACAATTGATGCAAAAGCATGACGATAGTTGTAAATATTGACTGAAGTCTGTTGTTATTGCTTTCCCACAAGACTAATGATGTTCCAAGGAAAAGCCAAAAACATGATGCGTCTCTCAAGGCTCGAGGTAGAGAGGATGCTAATAAGGAAAAGCAAAGTTAACAGCACAAACACTAACCATATGCTGCCTCTGCATGGATGAAATCCTGCAATTCAAAGCAGCTGATTCCATTTGGATGAGTCTCCAGACATCTGCCAACGAGACACCGGATCCGCTCAATTCTCTCTCCGAGCTGAAGAAATAAATGCACTTCAACTCTCAGGCCATTAAAATGAAGGATGAACTGCCTAGGGGCCGATGACCGAGGGTCTTTTTTAATAGACTTCGGTGCCAGAGGTCCACCAATGCTGTCATGCTTTCTCGTCCTGAAGAATAACCTGCGTCACCTTTGTCAGATCATTGGTAAAGCTGTCGTCAAGATCGGATAATTGCTTCCAATGATCCCCTATATCCTTGTGTTTTGAAACATTGCTTTTCAGCCACTTCCAATAAACAAATACGTCTGTTATTTCTGATTTGTGTTTAAATGATTTTGCTTGGAGGACAGTTTGTATGTTTCCAAATAGATGCTAAATTACTAACAATTTCCAGTCATGCTTTATTTTAGGGCTCAAGTCTCTCTATTAACAAACCCTTAACTTCAACTCAGGCTCATTCTGAAAATGTAGTGCCGTGGACATTTCTGGCGACAGTGAATTATGTAGCTGGAGGTACATATGGCTACATTTCATTTTTAAGGCGAAAGCTACGGGGGGGATATGACGCCGTTCCTTTTCACGTTTACTAGCTGACCACTTACCTCCGTGTGGCGGGCTTTCCCGCTGCAACCAGTTTGTCCAGTTAGCTTGTACGTCGGCGGACTTGAGACGCAGAGAGGAGTTGACCGAAACCAGGTTTGAGTCCGGGGAAGAGCGGTTTCATAAATCAGATGAGACAAAAACAGAATATCAAAAAATAAAATGAACAAGTGAATAACTGGTTGAGAATGTGGTAAAACCTGAAAACCTGACGTGGGCTTTTCTTTTTCTGGACGGCTTTTGTAAATTTGTAAATTGGTGGGGTTTAGGGAAGGAGGAGGGTGGGTCAGTCGATTGGCCGTTCGCCCAGTCGGCCATTTAGTCATTCAGTCAGTCAGACAGATGGTCGGTTGACAGCAGCCTCTAGCGGGTTTACACCAGAACGGCACTCACGAGAGAAATTCGAGATGCGAAAAAGCACACAGTGGACTCTTTTGGATTTTCAAAAACAAAAACTTTAAAAATACATACCTTCGCGGTCTCCAGAAACGTCCATGACTACGTTTTCAGAATGAGCCTGGGTTGATTAACTGACTTTGCCTCAATAGCTATGTTTCCATTCAAAAATATAGTTAAACTAGTGTGCATAACTGGAAAATCACATAAAACATATGCACAGCAAGGCAAGTTTATTTATAGCACATTTCAAACACAATAGTACGTCAACAAGAATAAAAGAAACAAGTATAAAAAATTAAAAACAACAAAGAATCAAAATTATTAAAAACAGATTAAACGTGTTAAAACGTGTTTAAAGGAATGAAAAAGAAAATAGGACATAATGTGCGATCTGTCGGACATAGCACATGCTAAACAGATGTGTTTTCAGTCTTGATTTGAATGTGTCTAATGTTGGAGCACATCTGATCATTTCTGAAAGCTGAGGGGGTGCAGTAGCTGAAGGCAGATTCAGTTATGGGGTATTAACTTGGCTGAGACTTGGCCCACATATGGTCCATGTTTGGCCCTTGTCTGGAAGCCAGACTTGGTCTAGTCAAGTACCATAATTCAGTGTGGCATGTGGGCCAAGCAATAGCTGATTGTGTGGGCCAGAGCTGGGCCTAAGATATTTGGCTACGTGGGTAGTTACGTTTAGTAATGGTGGTCATACTGAGTGTTGCAATTTACCCCATTCGTAGTAGTGCAAATGAACTGTCCTTGTATATCTACAAATGTATAGTGTTTGACTCGGGATGCCAGCAGCACAGTTGCACTATATGTCAGTTCCCTACCCATAGACTATCAGGCAGATATTTTTATAATTAATATTTTTATTGTATTTTATGTTATTGTATTGTAACTTCCTCCTTATTTGTTGACATTTAAAAAAAAAAAAAAAAGATTGTATAATTACATTCTAGTTCACCACAAATGTTTTCCACAGACCCCCGAGTGTCCCCTTCCAACCGCAAATGAGCTTGGATGCTTGTAGGGTCTGGGTCTGAATTATTGATATGTTTCTGTATGAGTGGGGAGTTTTTAACGATGGTCATTTAGAAGATGGAGAGGCATCAGCAGGGCGCTAAATCTGACAGCGTGCTCCACAAACAGCCACTTTATTGGGCGCACAGATGGCCTGTGTGTATCGACTTCAGAGAACCTCACTCACACACACACACACACACACACACACACACACACACACACACACAAGCAATATATATGGAATTAGATTTGTGTTGATGTGCGATAATGAATTTAGATGTATCTTCAAAGGTATGTTTTGAGGTTTTTGCAGAACAGAGAGCATTTTGTTTTTGTTTTCTGAGAGGAAGCGAGCCATGCTGGTTGGAGATTATTGCTTTTTTAAATGGCTGCTGGTCACGTTTCTGAGCTCAGATGCTCTTTAAAATATAGCTCGGGTGTCATCTGTTGTTTACTGTTCTGTAGCCCATCCTAAAGAAGACTGGACAAATCGATGCAGAAAATCTGTCAGTATAACTTTCGAAAAAAGGCTTAATGGACATTTAAGGGTTTCTGGAAAAAATAAAAAAAAAGAAGAAGCTTGTGCTGTCTGCTCTGAAATGCGAAAGCCTTTGCAGAAAACATTGCAGATGCTTCATTAGTCTTTCAAGGGTTTTAAAGGAATAGTTTGACCAAAAAGGAAAATTCTGTTCACTTGTGGAATTGTAAACATATTTTCATTGGAAAATAACATCCCTTGTTGCTTTAATTTTGCACACATAAAAGCTTCAGATTCCAGTAAGGACATCGATAACTGTGTTTGAGACTGTAATCATATACAGTAGGTACTGTAGCATTTTATTTTGATGGTCTCCTATAGACATTCTGTTGACTAAGGATTCAATTATTTACCATACAGTGTCACACTTTACAATAAGGTTTCATTAGTTAATTTATTTACTAATGTGAGCTAATTCTAAAAAGTACTTGTACATAATTTATTCATAGTTCAACATTTACCAATGTAATATTACAATCCACAATCATGCTTGTTAACATTTGAACTATACACTGTAAAACCCCCAAAATTAAGGTAACTCAAACTATTTGAGGAAATTGATTGCAACAAACCATTTAAGTTCAAAATGAATCCTAATGAGTACTGTGAACTTAATCCATTTAAGTAAATGAAGCAATTTGAGCACAGTAAAATCCAATAAATGAAGAGAACTCAAACCAACTAAGTACTGTAAAACCAATAAGGCAACTCAAACCATTTGAGGAAACCAGTTGCTACAAACAATTTGAGTTAAAAAAAGGCTAATCTATATGAGTACTGTGAACTTACTCTATTTAAGTTGAAGTAAGAAGGTAAAGATCCCTCTGATCCTAAAGAACATATTGACAACTGTAGAAATTAATAAATAGAATAAAATGATATTATTTGAGTATATTTAGGGGCAAAGCATCACAGGTTTGGAGGCACCTGAAATTATTCCACCAAATTTGAATGGCAGCCTATTTAACTGAAAGCAGGAAAGTTGTAAAATTTGGCACAATGATAGAGGGCAGTGTCATTATAAACCACAGCAAACCTGAAGTCTCTAACTCAAATCCTCTAGCGCCACCAGTTGTCCAAAGTTTCCCTCATGCTTATCGTTATAACTTTTGAACTGAATGGGCTACAATCAGAATTCAAAAGGCACCATATGACGTCAATTTCCGCCATGAAAAAAAAAATCGCTATTTCGAATTTTTTGCAAAACTTTTTTTATTAAATTCATCTTAGGCTGCGTGTCCAATTTTCACCAAAATTGAGTCACATCAAATCAAATCAAATACAATCAAATCAACTCACTTTTATTATCACGTCATCAGCAGCACGTGTGCTATGATGAGTGAAAAGTTAGGTGCTGGCTCCAGACAGTACAAAATACAGACAGCGCAAAATACAGATAGTGCAAATACAGCCACAGTGTAAAATACAACAGAATACTCCACAAAAAAAAAAAAAAAAAAAAAAAAAAAAACAGGACATTTTAAAATTGAAAAAACTTGACAGCGATATGTGTCAATTGACCTACAGACCACACTGAACAAAAGATATTAAATTCAAGTTGATTAAATACTTTATTGATTTCAAGTTGATTATAAATTATAAGTTGATTATATACATTCAAGTAGAGATTTGGCAATCTATATATACTTTTAACAAAGTGTCAACTGTGAACCACAGCTCATTTAATTTAATATGCCTGCTCAAAAGAACAAAAACATCAATAAGTTGGCATATTTAGAAACTAACTTTCTTGTACAATGTCTATTGAAGTACCACCTAAATAGGAGTTAGCAGATTTCATAATGCAAGGATTATGCTAAGTTGTTCTGTTCCTAACTCATTTTGGAAGTCTCCTACAATAGCTTTACTCTCCTCTTTCACTTAAAATAAATAAATAATTATTTAGATCAAAGATCCATTTATTTTAACTCCTGATTTCTAAAATGTCAGTTGTGATTGGTCTACCTGTTATAGGTTCTGTCAGATTATCATATCCAAATAGTATCAATATTGTATTTTACTGTATCAATTCAAACCCAAGGTTATTGACGATGATTAGACCAATCGTTTTTATTTAACTTGCGAACACATCTAACGTATTGAGAAAATGGACCTCTGTACTGCTGTACTCTGTACTCTGCTCTGTACAAACTTGGTGTGTGTTATGACAACCATATTCTGAGGTTATCTACATGGGGTGCACTGCCCCCTAGTGGTCTGGAGATACAGAAAATAGCTTTTTTTGCTTATAACTTCTTAACCCTATGTCCAAAATTCTTAAAATTGGTCTCTTTACATCCGGCGGAACATGCCGAGTTGAATGATATCTGATTTTTTCCAGGTGAGCCATTTTGGGCGTTGGCCATTACATCAAATGTATTCAAAAGCTTATTGTTTCACTTTAATGCTCTTTACTAACCTTGTTGCTTTTTGCCTTTGGACTGCCTTAATCATTCAAGTGCTCAGGCCCTTAATTGCTGCTTGCAGCTATATTTTATTATTATTATCATTATTCTTTTAGGCTGCACTGTGGTGCAGTGGGTAGCACGTTCACCTCACTGCAAGAAGGTCTCTAGTTTGAGCCTCGGCTGGGTCAATTGCCGTTTCTATGTGGAGTTTGCATCTTCTCTCCGTTTTGGCATGGGTTTCCTCCAGGTGCTCCTGTTTCTCCTACAGTCCAAAGACATGCACTATAGGTGAATTGGGTAAGCTAAATTGACCCTAGTGCATGTGTGTGAATGAGTGTATATGGATGTTTCCCAGTGATGGGTTGCAGCTGGAAGGGCATCTGCTGCATAAACATTTTCGGGATATGTTGGTGGTTCATTCCGCTGTGGTGACCCCTGATTAATAAAGGGACTACACCGAAAATAAAATGAATTAATTCATTATTATTTTATTAATATTTTGAGTGTTATTTGTCCAAAAAATTTACATATTTTTTTTTAGTAAAAGAAAGAAACTTGTTCTAGTTTTTAAGTAAATAATTAAAGTGGAACAATGTGTTTGTTCATTTCACATTGTTTTTTTCTTCCTATGCCATTAGCACAAACAGAAGAAAAAAAAAAGTCTAATGGTGGTTTTGCCTTGAATGCTGGAAGATGTGAATGGATTGTACACACAGCGCAGTGCAGTGCAGAATACCAAAATATGGAGATGAAGCACTGTACCTGGTCTTATCTCCTAGGGAATGACGAGCAGATTTTAGGAGGGAAAGAGAGAGAGAGGGGAAAAACAGCATATTGATAGAGCACAGTAGAATTTGCAAAGAAAAACAGCTTGACTCCATTTGACATTTTTTGTGGTCTGTTCTGTTAATCATTCTCATGTCAATCACCCCGGCTTGTAGAATATTGCTGCAAATCACCTGAGGTATGTGTCTGTTAATCTGTCTTCATGATGCATGATCTTTCCTTTGTGATGCTTATTAGTGATACAACACATTTTTCAACCCATATTATGTAATCACGGACTCGTCATTCCTGTTGCATTATGATAAGTTTGATAGATTGTGAGACTGTTTAATATTTATAAGTAAAGCTTATGGAAATGCTGTAGTTTGACTCATCCTGTTCTGATAATGCACACACTGATTTTTCCATGTTTTTTCACTAATACAAAAGAAGGCATTCAATTTATGCATTTATTCCTACATACCCAATATAATCAGTCATACCCAAATAATATTCTTGTTTTAGGCTCATTATAGTCCCAAACCTGTTCTTTAGTACAAGGTTGTTCTCATTCTCAGTCTACATCCCTTATAAATCTACTTTATTTGTAAGAAAATTGCTGTGTGCTATTTTCATTTATTTTAATTTCGATATCAGAATGTAACCTTTTTAAGAAAAAGTAAGTGTCTTATATTTTTGTATCAAAATGTATTATATTTAGTTTTGTTCTTTCATTTGAAAACTGGATGTTCCGATGTATGTAGAAATGCATAGGCCTAAGCATTTAAAAAGAATGAATAAAATGATGTCTAATAACTATAAAAAAATAACTCAATTCACCGAATAACTGTCAACCCATTCATTTTTAAGTTATAAAGTCAATAAATATATTGAAGTGCTGCTAATTGCGGATGTAAGTATGCGGATGACAACCAAATCTACCTGCCTTTAAAACCAAGTTCAAGTGGGCTAGAGACTCAGATGTTATGCTTGTCAGATGTAAAGTCTGGTTGTCTTTGAACTTTCTAGATTTTAATGAGAGTAAGACTGAAATAATTCTGTTCGGCCTGTGAAACTCTTGTAGAGCATCTGTAGTTATTTTAAATAATCAAGTTTTTCTATGAAGCCCTAGGTAAAACAAATCTGGGTGTTATTCTGGATGATGGCTTGAGCTTTGACAAACAGATAAGTGCAGTGGTTAAACCCTTCTTCTTTAAGCTTCGACTCTTAAAAACAGTTAAATCTATTTCATCGAGAAAATAAAGCTTTTATTTCTGTAAACTAAAGACTATGGGTGGTCATGCTTTTTGCAATGGCCTACCCATCAGCATCAGGAATGCAGTTTCTCTGGACTGTTTTAAGAAACTTCTCAAGACTCACCTTTTTACTGCTGCTTTTAACAAAGATTGATTATTTTTCTTAATTTTATCATGCAATAGTATTGAACCGTTCATATTTTATTGTTTTATTGTGGTCTTTTTTTTAATTTTTTTTACTGTTTTTATTGTTCTGCTTTGTTTGCCTTGTATGCCTGTTAGCGCTTTGGGAAAAGTGCACTATAAATAAAATGTATTACTATTGTTGTTGTTGTTATTATTATTATTATTATTAATATTATTATTATTATTATTATTATTATTATTATTATTATTATCATTATCAAGCAAGAAGGTCGCTGGTTTGAGCCTTGGCTGGGTCAGTTGGCATTTCTGTGTGGAGTTTGCATGTTCTTTCCGTGTTTGTGTGGTTTCCAGAGGTAAATGTGCCTTCACAGTAGCTGGTCCTAGATTGTGGAATGCTCTGCCTCTCTGTATCTGTTTCATCTCTGTCTGTTTTTAAATCTTGGTTGAAAGCTTACCGCTTTGATTTGGCATTTTTTCCATAATTTTGTATTTTTGTGATGTGTATTGTGCAGCACATTGGTCAACCTCTGGTTGTGTTTAATAATGCCATCTAAATAAAATTGACATTAACATAAAGAAAATATTTGCGAGATAAATATTTCAAACTTACTTTTAAAATAGCCTATTACATGCGAATAAACCAGCCAACCAGTATTATTGTTTATCTGACAGAAATTCTTTTTATTGAATCAAACACATATTGCATGAACAGTGTACTTTCTTTTTTATCACGTAGGAAAGACTCCACATATTAAAATCCGAAGTCAAATACAAACACTGCGACCAATATAGTCTGAATCCTGAGGGAATGACTCTGAAGATTCGTTTTTTACTAAAGTCAAACATGTTCTGGGAAGTAAAGCTAAAATATTTAGACAATAGGTCATAAATCCTAAAGGCTGCCGTGAGCATAGGTAAATTGAAAGCTCTCAGAGATGTGTTCTAAAAGTTTGTGTTGACCAGAACTAGTTTTCATAAATGTGATTTCTGTCCAAAGGGAGCAAACATGGTCAGTTTAAAGGACACTGCAGACACCATTGGAAATTATTAAGGGAGCAATGACGTATCACTTCACAGGAAGGAAAGGGGGAAATTTTTATAGTTGTGTCCAAAACAACACAAAATACACAATGCACTTATTCACCCACCGGCAACTTTATTAGGTACACCTTACTAGTACCGGGTTGGATCCCCTTTTTGATGCAGCAGAAATCGAGTCTCATCAGTGCAGGCAACGTTTTTCCCAGCTTCTATTGCCTATTTTGGTGAGCCTGTGTGAATTATCGCCTCAGTTTCCTGTTGTTAGCTGACAGAAGTGGCACCTGTTGTGGTCTTCTGCTGCTGTAGCCCATCTGCCTCAAGGTTTGACATGTTGCGCATTCAGAGATGCTCTTCTGCATACCTCAGTTATAACGAGTGGTTATTTGAGTTACTGTTGCTTATTTCTATCAGCTGGAACCAGTCTGGCCACTCATCTCTGACCTCTGGCATCAACAAGGCATTTGCGCCCACAGTAAACCTAGAAATGGTTGTGTGTGAAAATCCCAGTAGATCTGCAGCTTCTGATTACTCAGACCAGCCTGTTTGGCATCAACAACCATGTCACAATCAAAGTCACTGAAATCCCTTTTCTTCCCCATTCTGATGCTCACTTTGAAGTGCAGCAGATCGTCTTGACCATGTCTACATGCCTAAATGTAATGAGTTGCTGCCAGGTGATTGGCTGATTAGAAATTTACGTTAACGAGTAGTTGGACAGGTGTACCTAATAAAGTGGCCGGTGAGTTTAAAGCTTCTGGTGTACCTGATTGGTTTAGGTGTGTCCAAATGGGGTGGGGACTAAAGTCTGCAGGACACTGCCCTTCTAAGACCAAGTTTGGTCCTAGAAGATTTTTAAAAAGTTTATTTATTTATTTATTTATTTATTTATTTATTTATTTATTTATTTGAATTATGAGCAAAAGATGCAGCAGGAAATATCAGCTGGGTTCAGAAAAAACCTGGACACAGCTCATCTAAAAGAATAGCTCTAAAGAAGTTAGTGTGAATCGCGAGGTAATTAAAGAGTCGTTTGATTTTCTGAATCAAATGCATGCAGCTCAGTACGATTTATCTGTGTCGGTCCTACAAGTGTGATCCCCAAACGAATTTCTTCCGTTGACCGATTATTAAACGTATCAGCACTTTGCGTATTAACATGTGTAGAATGAAAGGTCACAAAACGAAACATGTCTATACCCACTCTTGTTAACCATATAACTTAATTTACATTATTGAAACATACATTTAAAATTGTGGAGAGGACGTGTTTTTTTCATAGCTTTAGAAATACAAACAAAATAGTTTTTCATGTTAAGTATTAAATATTTGTTAAAATACTAAAATAATCCCTGAGGAATCACAATACCTAAATTTCTTATGATCCCCTTCCTTTCTTCCCACATAGCCTATGCGAGTGTGTGCGCGCGTGTGCGTGTGTTTGTGTGGACGCGCGCGTGCTAGAGGAGGCAGAACTCAGCTCCGAATCCAGCCACGAACAACCGAGAATGTGCGCGAAATGCTTCACTGCTGTTCTCTGTAACTCCACAGGGCAAATTCTGCATGTATATATGGCTTGGGGAACGTCGGAGTGACATTGAAGAAGAGGAAGACGCATTTCTGAACACCCAGAACCTCCCTCTCCAGCTCATCTACAGTCAGCATCCGTACACCGTGGACCTGTTACCACCGGACTGGTACCACTGACCATTTCACCCTGTGTGGATACTTCTCCAGACCGCGGAGGATTTGCGCAAAATTCGAACGGACCAAATTATGACTCATTTTACTTTGCTTGGATGAGTTTTTAACACCTATTGCATTTGATTTGTCTGTCAGTATACGCGTATTATATTTTTAAAAATTCTAGTTTGGCCAAATAAGGATAAATAATGACTTTTTGATGACACTTCGTTCAAATTAAATAACGTTTTATCAAATGCGTAAAATGGAAACCAAAGCGCGTAAATTGACATCGGATTAACTCTCGCTTCGCATCCCGGCCACATTCCCGTGAAAATCTATGGAAGTAGCCGAGCTTGCTTTGAACTTGCTTTAGGCTGGGTGCCGGGAGTGTTTTCTGCGGGACGTGGTGAGGATGCAGTCGGGGATGCGGGCGCTCTGTGCCGGCGGAGGCGCGTCTCTCTGCTGCCTGCTTATGCTGTGGATGATCTACACCCACATCCTGAAAGAAGGCAAGTGCTGAGCATCACTATACATGACTTTCACTATGGTAACGGGGTCCAAATAACCTCATATCTCTACGCGTAGGCTCACCTCTGGCTCTGTCCTTATTATAAAGTTGTTTAAAAATACAGCTGTCAGATTTTTTTCTGAGCCAGGCTTCTGTGCCTTAACATCTCAGGGGAGAAAACCGTAGTGTATAGGACAGGAGCTACTCCTCTGAGAGACCCCGGAGAGCTTGTGATATTATTATGGAAATCTATAGCATAATATGGAGGGCATGCTTCACAACCCAGAGGGAAAATTGTATTGCTTGGGGGTTGCTCCTTCACAGCTCAGGAGATCTCATTTATGTAACTTTGACTCTCTTGAAAAAAATCTAAAAAGTGAAATGCATAAGGTGTGAAACGAATTCATGGAGAAATGGTTGAGATCTCTGACTATATGGTTGAGAAATGAGAACAATTTGTGTCATTGTTAAATATACTCATTGAGTTGTGCTTTTTTATTATTATTATTTCTTTAAATTGCTTTTCCTTGGTTATTTGCACTAGTTGTGCTCTGGAGTTTTTGTATTTCTAATGCTGCGATAAGGAACAAGTGTATTTGCATGCATGCATTTGCATTAATACCTACTAATATGCATTACACACACTGCTGCCTTGCATGTCTGTGTGTGTGCAAGTCTATCCGGCATTTTCCAGTGTGTTTTACATGTAATGAAGAGCAGAGTCATGATTTGAGTCAGGGGTAAGAATGTGACTCACATTTAATAAGCTAACTGCCCTAAAAAGGCACTAGGAGGCATGTCATACGTGGCACAGCGTTTGTGTGCTGATGTGGAAGTTTTGCAGATGGCTGTCAGTGGGGGCGCGATGGGTTTTGTCAGGGGGGGTTGAGTTAAGATAAGATATAATAAGAGATATTACAGTCATTAACGCTTCATCTCGTGGTGCATCTTAGCACGGTAATACCGCAGATTTACGGGCACCCTGCTGCACAAATCCTCACGTTTAACCGAGACGTTCAGCTCACTAATGTTAGTAGGCGTGAACTGGTGTGTCGTATTTAAGGGATCAAACCTCCCTTCTTGATCCTCTCAGTTAATGGATGAGCTTTATTTGGGATTCATATAGCCTCAAGCTCACAACTTCTTTTGTTTTAGATAGACTAAAGGAGAAGCACCTGAAGGAAAAATCTGCTGTCACAGTATTTTTAAAGCAAGGAGAAAGAAATAATTTTCCTATGAAGTCTGTGTAATGTTATTTTAAATGTGATTTTTAATGTAAGATTTTTTTTTTTTTTTGCCTTCAGCCAATGTTTATGCACCAACTAGTGTACAGTTGAAGACAAAAATTGTAAGTCGTCCTGTAAAATTGAAGTGCTGTTTATTGGAGCTATTTTTTGAAGACATTTTACAACAGCTTTAATCACTCATTTCTAATAACATTTTGTCTCTCTCTCTTTGCAAGAACATAATACTTTACTAGTTATTTTACAAAATTTAAATGCTTAACTAGGTTATTTAGGTTAATTAAGTTGGGTTACATAGGCAAGTCACTGGAGAACAGTTGTTTGTTTTGAAGCCAATACAAAATACAAAAGTAAAAATAATATTGATTTTAGTAGTTTTTACTTTTTTTTAATGATTCCAAACCAAAATAAAACAAATAAGAATTTCTCCTTCAGAAAAATCTACCATTACTTTTTAAAACCTATTTTACAGGTGGGGATACAGACACTCACTGGCCACTTTATTAGGTATACCTTATTATTATCGGACTAAACCCGGTATACCTTATTACTACTGGGCTGAAACACAAAATAGACATACATAATACTCACGAAAAACCATAGAAAATAAACTATCTGAATGTTATCTATTTGTAAAGTAACTTTTGCACCCTAGTAATCTCACCTCTCATGGCTAAATTATGTTAGCAATCTTGAACCATCTCCTAAAAGGCAAATCATGTAATATTATTAACATTAAATGTATAGCACTGCCAAACGATGTCTATAAATCTGTAAAACACCATTTCGAACCTACAGTCCATCAATTTCCAGAAGGATCTTCAAAATTTCCTGTTTCTCCATTGATGATGCCAACTATCAAACACATGTACACATAGACATCACATATATAAATGCAGGTTAACCTCACTTTATTAGGTACACCTTATAAGTACCAAGTTGGACCCCTTTTTGCCTTAAAAATTGCTTTAATTCTTCGTGGCATAGATTTAACAAGATACTGGAAATATTCCTCAGAGATTTTATTCTATATTGACATGATAGCATTATGCAGTTGCTGCAGATTTGTCAGCTGCACATCCACGGTGTGAATCTCCTGTTCCACCAAATCCCAAAGGTGCTCTTATTGGATTGAGTTCTGGTGACTGAGGAGACCATTTGATTTGAGTACAGTGAGCTCATTGTCATGTTTAAGAAACCAGTCTGATATAATTCGTGCTTTATGACCTGGCACATTATCTTGCTGGAAGTAGCCATCAGAAGATGGGCACAGTGTGGTCATAAAAGGATGGACATTTTCAGCAACAATATTATGTAGGCTGTGGCGTTAACACAGTGCTCAGGTGGTACTAATGAGCCCAAAGTGTTCCAAAATAATATCCCCCACACCATTACACAACCAGCCTGAATCGTTAATACAAGGCAAGATGGATCCATGCTTTCATGTTGTGTACAACAAATTCTCACTTTAGCTAACAGGAGTGGCACCCAGTGTGATCTTCTGCTGCTGTAGCCCATCCGCCTCAAGGTCGCCTTTCTATCAGCTGGGACCAGTCTGACCATTCTCCTCTGACCTCTGGCATTACTTACAGTGAGCTCACAGAACTGCCGCTCACTGGATATTTTTTCTCTTTCGGACCATTCTCTGTAAACCCTAGAGATGGTTGTGCGTGAAAATCCCAGTTGAGCAGCAGTTCCTGAAATACTCAGACCAGCCCGTCTGGCAACAACAACCATGTCACGCTCAAAATCACATTTCTTCCCTGTTTTGATGCTCGGTTTGAACTGCAGCAGATCGTCTTGGCCATGTCTACATGCCTAAATGCATTGAGTAGCTGTCAGGTGATTGATTGATTAGAAATTTGCAATAATGGGTAGTTAGACCGGTGTACCTAATAAAGTGACAGGAGAGTGTATATTGGTTGCCAAAAAAGTATATTACAGCTTCTTCTTCTTTTAACCCCATTCATTAAAACTGTGTCTATTTCATACACCATTGAACATGAACTAGTTAAAAGAGTGTAGCCTTAAAATGATAAATAATTAATTATAAATCTTTGTATTTGACCATTATCCTTTAAAGCAGGGGTCACCAATCTTGGTCCTGATTGACCAGAGGCCCTGAGTGTTTCAAGTGTACCTAGTAAGATCTTGATTAGCTTGTTCAGGTGTGTTTGATTAGGGTTGGAGCTAAAATCTGCAGGACACTGGACCTCCAGGAACATGTTTGGTGATTCCTGCTTTAAAGCACTAGGTTTGAAGCATTAGGCATTTCATAAGCACTATAAAATCACTTTTGTGACCTTAGTTTGATGCAGACACCAAATATTGGGCATCTGGTCTGTGACCCATATATGAGATATCAGCATCAATAATGACAGAGGTTTCTATTTGAAATCCATTTAAAGAACATGATTCCAGTCTATAACTGGTTGAAGCGTCAACTTTTGATTGCTGTGATGGCATAGCATGGTGGCCTTTCATTCCGATAATGATATCCGTGACCCTGTTGAAGTTGCGGGTGAGAAATTTATTGATCAGTGTGTGTGACCATCGACCTTTGCAGCTATTTGCCTCCAAGACATTTACAGATGAAAGCATGTGGCTTTCGAAAGAAGCCTTGACCCTTCAAGCACCCATCAACAAGTGATGGAAATGTTGAAGCATCCCTCTGATGCTTTTGATGGCCTTTTTTTTTTAAAGATCACATGATCATACTACTTTAAATGTGGTGCGATGCAAGTGATATGTAGATGTGCGTGTGTCTTTGCGGGCCAGCAGCGCATTTGTTTTAGTTGTAATTTAATTATGTCTTCCTCTCAGGCCAAAGCTGTCATCTGGAATCACAACAGAGCCATGACATCACCGATAATGCACAGAGCGTTTTCATCACCGCTGCTCAGCGTAACGCGAGGGACAGTGACGAGATGAGAGATTTACAAGATTAAAATCAATTGTCAAGAGTCCAATTAAAAAAATCCTGCTTCTTTCATAGTGGAATTTCCCCGGAAAGCTCGGAGCAAAAAGATTAGTCTTTTGTTAGATATTGCTAAAAGATTTCACTTTCACTGAGCACCTCTTCGTACCAAAAAAAAGCTTGTGCAAATCTGATTCAGCTCCTTTAGGAGCAGACAGTAGAGGAAAGAGTACTGAAAAATCATAGGGTGCGTCTCAATCAGCTCTGTATATCAGTAGGTCGTGTACACTACCCAGCCTGATCTCACGAGAAAACGCAAGTATTTTACGTTTTGGCAGTTTAGTGGCTAATTCGTACGAATTCGTATGAGTTCAGTCGTAAGTAATTGTACGATTTTAAAAAGGAGGCGTGGCACCTAACCCCACCCTTAAACCCAACCGTCATTGGGGGATGAGCAAATTGTACTAAAATGTACAAATTAGATCGTACAAATTCGTACGAATTAGCCACTAAATGAAAAAGTTAAGAATTGCTGTGAGATTGTGTTGTACTACCTGACAAAACACTTGTCGTCGAGCAAGTTGTAAGAGCAACAAATAATAACTTGACTTCTTTGAATCATCGGTTGAACTGCACATCAATCATCACAAATACTGCAGAAGACCTATTGGAACCCGCATGGACCCTAGATTTCAGTGTCAGATTTTAGTGGTTTCTGTGTCCGACGATCGAGTTGTCGTGGTCCTAACCTTCGACCACCACCCGTTCCACAATGCATCGAACACTTACCACTCCCCCTGTAGGTAGTAGGGCCCGCAGGAGGATGGTCCCACATCACTC